TCTCTCTCTCTCTCTCTCTCTCTCTCTCTCTTTCTTTCTCGGTTAGAGAAAAGCGTATACAAATACTGCCGAACCTGCTCTAACAGCCACCTGTCCAAGACAGTAACTTGTACAAACGATCGACTGGTTCCCATTTCCCACTTACCTCTTTCTCATCATACGACATAACCCAAAATGTCCACCTGTCAAGTTAACCCCTTTTTCTACTAAATAATTGACGGCCGTCTTAAACAAGTTGGACTGTACCTATCAGTCTATGCTGTATATTTTTCTAATAAAAATTACCTTATTCATAATAACAGTCAATATTGTTGAATATCTTTCATCTTTGGAAGCTTTTAGAATGGCTATCATTTTTTTCTTCGAGTATACAACTTTCATCTTGATCTAAAAAATATCTTTGATCCAAAAACTTTGGCTGTGTAAGGGAGCATAGGGTCAGAGATTGATCGTTTGGAAGTGTGCAGAAAATTTGACAAAACTGTTGGCCAACGGTTTTTTCTGTAAGATGTGAACAATGAAAATAAAAGAGGAGCGACTAAATCAACATAATGTTGTGTTTGTGCTGAAGGCTAGTCTTATTCATTTCATTGTCCACTTCTCGCTGAGAAGCTGTCGTGAAAACAACCAACTTGACATGTTTTGCGCGCCCATATTATGGCCTTATGTAGTTCCGAGCGCCGTAGAACTATCACTATTACTAAACTAAACGAAACAACCCACTGACAACCGTCGGCTAACTGTTTTGCCACAGTGTTGTTCTGGACTTTAAACTTCAATCTATCGCTTGGCCCTCAAATATTTGTGCAAACAAACACACTGACATCACCATCATTATCACAGCCTATAATTTTAGGGGACTTTAATTTGCATTTTGAAGATACATTAGACTCTAATGTTAAATCTATCAAATCTATTTTAGAGACTCGTGATCTCTATCAACTCATCGATGTCCCCACTCAAATTAAAAAACCACGTTAGATTGGGTGAATATGGACTATGCCAATAAAATCGGTAACATTCAAGTTAAGAACAAACTGTATTTCTGATCACTACGTGGTGTCCTTTGAAATAACTCGTATAGGGAAGCCCAAACTATGACTCCACAAAATAACAACCCGCAATATGGACATCGATAATGAAAAGTTTGGAGCGGACATTCGCCAGCAACTAAACTTCTTACACGGTTCAACCTCCGAGAAGGTAGACACTTTCACCACCAGGACGTGTCAACTACTAAACCAACATACGCCAGTCAAAACAAGAACAGTGACTGATTGACCTTCTACACCATGGATGGCTTTGGAAATTAAACAAGCTAAAATGGAACGTAGACGAGCTGAGAGACGCTGGAGACCAACCAAGCTAGAAATTCGTGAGGACATTTATAGACACTACAACAATAAAGTCAAAGCGTGAAATAAAATAAAATCTTCAAAATTCATGTATTATAACGGGAAAAAATAATGAATGTACCACGTCTAAAGCTTTATTTTTTGTATAACAAATTAGTTGTCTGGTAAGAAAGACCCGGCCAGCAACAAGTTTCCAACGAATGTACCTAAAATGAATCAAAACATTCTCTGGGGTAATCTTTAATGACGCTGCGTGTGTTTGGCGTGCATGTATGTGCACATGTGTGCTTGTAATGTGTGCATGAGTGTGTGTATTTGTGTATGTGTGTGAGTGTGTGTGTGTTTGTGGGTGTGTGTGTGTGTGCGTACGTGTGTGCGTGAATATTGTTCGAACATGCATTTATGTAAAGCGCCTTGAGCTGTGTTTACACGAGAGTGGGCGCTATAGAAATTATCTTCATTATTATCATTATCATCATTGCCATCATTGCCTTTCTCACCCTGAATCAGGATGTAGGCCACGAACAAACATGTTGCGCCTTTTCCTATCTTGGCTTTCATGTCTTCCCATTTTAATATACCTTAATTTCGGTTACTCTTCTCTAACAAAAGAAGTATCAAGAAGGAACAAGACACTAAGATAACGGTCTTAAAATTATAAATTACAAAATGTTTTGATTCGATATCTGGGTGGTCAAGGGACACATTTTAACTTTCCCTTCACTACGTACATTTGATGTCACCACTGAGTCGTGGGTTAATAAAAACAAAGCTAAGAGAAAGAGCATTTCTTTACGTTTTTCGTCACAAAATTTCAATCTGTTACTGATTACATAACATAGTGAGAAATCCTGGCCCCAAAGTATCCTGAAAATGATGGAATATTAAAGTAACGCGTAAAAGCAAAACAAAAGAACAATATGTTAAGCTTGATTTTTTAAAATTTATTTACTTATTTTAGATTTGGGGAATGGGGGCGGGGGGGGGGGGGGATTACCTTTACACCTTTTAATAATAATAATAGATTTCAATAGGAAGGGAAGTAACTTAATATATCTTTGAAACTCACAATTGTTTGGGTACTTTCCCTTGCAAGTTATGGGATCCGATGTAACGGTCCACAAAAGGGTAATAATGAGACGAGAGTCCGGGGCAGTTAGTGAGCGAGTCCGCCATACCGTTCAGGGCAAAAATACAAGTCGTCAGTCTTCCAATAACGACAATGTCCTGATACTGCATTGCTTATGTACGACAGTTATAAGGGCCTACTATAACAATAATATAACGATGGTGTGTTCTTATGTCATGCTTGGGTATATAAACCGGCGTGAAAATGACAATGAGCTTCAGTTTAGCTTTCACATGAACAGGTACATTGTATTCCTGACTAATGCGCCATAATAATGAAACAACTACTTGTATTGGCTGTGTCCCAACTACCCATCCCCCCCCCCCCCCTTTTGTGCGCCCATGCCTAAACGTTGCAGATGCCTGTCTATTACAAATAAGCTAATACATATGAAATATCTGTTGGGTCCGCCCACTTCCAACCCTCCCTAATAGAGGCGTGTTCATTTCATAATCGATGTAGATGCCTGTCTATTACATCATTGTTAAGTGCCAACATCATCAAGTTTGCTTAAGCAAAAACAAAAAGAAAGCAACAAAACTGACCACCCCCCACCCCCCACCCCCACCCCGACCCTCTACACATTATCCTGACCTTTCACCGTCATCCGCTTTTGTCTAGGCTTTTCAGGTAGGTTGCTCTGGGTTTACCCATGTCTCATTGCCTTCAATTTTGCCAGTGAGAGCTAGATAGAAGTTCAAAGCCTTTTTCAAGTTTCTCAATCAAATTTGTCTTTTTCTTACTGTTTCTGAGGGTGGTTGGCGGGTGCTCTGCTGTGGTTTTCTTCTTCTTTCCAATCAAATATCTATCGCCCTTATCTCCCCTAGCTTCTGCTTTTTTTGTGTTTGTTACTCTCTTGTAACACCTCTAATCTTCGGCACTTAAATGACCTTATTGTGTTGGAAGTGCCGAAGAACATTTACTAAAACTAAACATTACTGTTTCTATCACTCTCTATTACAAATACACTATAATAACGAAACAATCATTGGCTCCGCCCCCTTTCCCATGTAGGCGTGTCCATGTGCTGCTGTTGGCCCGCCTACCGCTATAGCCTTGCCACTAGAGTGGGAGAGACACCCTTCATGCCGCTCATCCCCTGTGCTGCCTTTGCCCTCAGGGTCAAAATAAGGACATTGTTTGGCATCAAGGTAACAGTTGTTGTTGTTGTTGTTGTTGTTGTAGTTGTTGTTGTTGTTGTTGTTGTTGTTGTTGTTGTTGTTGTTGTTGTTGTTGTTGATTTTTTTGTGTCGTTGTTAATGTTGTTTCGCTGTTGTTTTTTTTGTTGTTTTGCTATTGTTGTTGTTATTGTTGTTGTTTGTTTGTGTGGTAGCCTATCAGTTCGAAATGTTTGGAGCCCCGAAGAGCGTGCTCTTCGCAAGGGCCACTGCCTCTCTTGGGTAGCGGGTGAGGCTGTCCAACCTCCCTGAATCCTGCCCTGTTGTTATTGTTGTTGTCAGTTTTGTTGTTGTGATATTATTCTTTTGTTGTTTTTTGTTTTGAACTTTTATGGGTTTTTTCTGTGCACTAAATGAAAGTCGTTGTGTCAATGTTTTTGGTTTTGTTTGTTTGTTTGTTTTTATTTTTGTTAATGTTCTTGTTCTTTGGGGGTGGGGTTTTGATTTTACAAACAAACAAAAAAGCCAACAATCAAACAACCAACCCCCCCCCCCCCCTAAAAAACCAACAACAATAAAAAAAAACCAACTGATTATTGTTGCATGCCCATAATACGATCTATGAAATTTCTGACGTTGCTGTCATTGTGCTTATACAGTAGAATCCACTTATAACGAGTCCTGAAATAACGAGAAGTCTGCTATAAAGACACTTTTCTAAAACCACGTTTTTCCCCTTCTTTATCTTTGTAAATAAAACACTGTTATAACGCAATCAGAAAAACACGCGAGTCGGTTATAGCGTAATATAGCTGCTGCTGTGCACGGCGCATAGGCAATTTATTCATGTAAAACCTCGCCAGTTGAGAAATTTCTTGGCTCTCTTGCGAAACAAAGAATGGGAGAGCCCATGTGTGCCAACAATGAAGGCCGGATTGAATGAGTGGGGAGAGTGTAGCATGCTCAGATAAGCAGAACGCATCGTGTGATAGGCCGGCCTAGTCTAAGTTATCTAAGCCTACCATTCCTCTCACTGCTCCGATGCGGGGATGGAGAGGTCATAGTGCTGTACTGTGATGAACGGAGTGAATGTGTGACGTGGGCGGGGTGTGGTATGTTCCCATTGTGCGCAAGCAGACGGAACGCACCACAGGATGTGGTGGGGTTGGGGACAACACAGCAGGCGAGTTAGCCTAGAAAACTTTCTTCTTGATCGCCAACGCCGAGCTGTCAACATCGCTATCGCTAGAGAAAAAAACCCGATTCGACTTTCGATCTAGTAATACTTAAAGGTCATGTTGAACCAAATCATCATCAGGGGAGATTACAAAAAGAACAAAAACCGAAAACCAGACTCATAGATTAGGCGTACTTTACAATTTTCCTTGAACTTGTTACTGGATCCCTTATAACGAGAATCTTGCTATAACGGACATTTGGCATGGGTCCCCTTCCTCTCGTTATAACAGAATTACACTTTTATTTTCTTTCTTCAGTTTGGCCTGTCATTATGCTTGTTAATCTGTTTCTTTTTAGGGGGTGTCAATAAATGACAATATTATTAATCATTTATTTTAGCTATGATTGTTAATCTTTTTAAGTATCTCTCTATCTCTCCCTTTCTATGTTTCTATCTATTTATCTTGTTTATCTGCCAGTCAGTTTATCTATTTATCTGTTTATCTATCAGTCTGTCTATCAGGAAATGATATCTGAGTTACTCAAGATCTCCTTGCATTTGCACGCGTTCATACTGGACATATTATGTCAGAAATGTGGACCCTTTTAAGAATAGGTAGGCCTAAAAAGAATTGTTTAGGCACTTTACTATATTATTATGCGAAAACTTGTATTTTTATCACCACTCCGCACTCTCCCTCCCCTCAACACTTCCCCTCTCCTCTCCAATCACTTCCAACCCCTCCCCACTCCCAACCACTCCCAACCACTCCTGACCCTCCCAAGCTCTTACTCCCCACCCCATTCCATTCCAACCACTGCCCACCCCGTTCCTTATTACTTATTCACAAACTTTCATCTCTTCTACCCCCAGGGATCTCTCATAAAAGATTTCTTCACGACGTTGTGCTGTGAGCCGTGTGCGATATGTCAGATGGTCAGAGAAATGGACTCTATCGGACTGTGAAAACAGATTATCTTGCTTGCCACACTCGCAGATAATTATTGCCTAAGTCATTTTTGGTCTGTTTGAAGTTATTGCTTCTGAAATAAAGAGCAGAGCTAGCTTGGTAATATAATTCACTTGGACAAAAGAATAATCCAGTTATAAAATGAATTGAGCATACCGAAATTCAATCGTTTCACACAGTCAGTTGCTCGAAAGAAACAGTTTGCTTTCATTTTCTCTAAAAGGCTAAAAATAACTTAGACATTTTATGAGCGTTGCGATCTGATTCTGTGTGAAAGACAAACCACAAGGGAGCTAACCACATTATCCGCTTTGCCAAAACAATTACGATGCTCAGAGTTGTCAGACTTAGTTATGTATGCCTGGGAAATGGGAGAGGTTGAGGAAGAGAGAGAGA